TTAAGATAAAAATACGATTCGATAAATTTGTTTTTGTAATTTTAAGGATTCCTTCGATATTAAGGTCTATTTATATGTTTTTGAGGCTATATATTTTGAGTTTTTGAAAATGATCTTCATTGTAGGATTACGCCACTGCGTTACGCCTTATTTGATTTTTATTTCAGATACAAGCGTCGATTCTTATGTTTTTAGAGCCGTAGTTTCTGAAAAAGATCTCCATTTTCAGATTACGCCACTGCGTTGCGGCTTATTTGATTTTTTTGTATTTCTTCGATATAAGGGTCGATTTATATGTTTCGGAGCCATAGTTTTTGAAAATAGAGTCCACTTTAGGATTTCAGTTTTGTTTTGTATTCCTTTAATATGCGGATCGATTTATATGTTTTCGGAGCTGTAGATTTTTAAAATGATCTTCATTTTAAGATTACGCCACTGATTATTTCAGTTTTTTTGATTATTTTGATATAAATGTCTATATGTACGTTTTTGAAATTGATCTCCAATGTCGAGTTCACAAATAAACACAAATGTGACATTGTTAAATGCAGTTGAACTTGAGATCCTTTATTTCTTTTTAGTTATGCATGATGATCTAACTGTATTAAATAAGTACTTTGTTATAAAAAAAAAAGCTTTATAATATACAATACGCCACTCTTATCCTCATCGCCGATTGAATGAGTTTTTTCTTAAATTATGCAACAATGAAAGATCTGTCAGAATGTAATAAAGAAAGTGATAGACTCTTTGAAAGCAAATATGGTAACTTCAGAATCAAAAATTTGAATTAATTTATTTTTTGTGTTAAAAAAATACCAACGATGATTTTTATGTTTAAAATTTATTTTCATGTTAAATTATTTAAGTTAACGTTCGTAATGTTGTTTAAAACAACCTACTGTGATTATAAACTATAAAACGATTAAGAAATATAAAGGAGGCCTTAATAATTAAAATACGCTAAATCTAGCGTTAAAAAATTACCAACATATTCGTGAACTTAAGAATAATTAATACACATATAACTGAAATTTCTTATATCCTAGAAATTTATTGTACCAGCTTGATATTATATGAAGTAGCTTATGGACCCTTATATAACAGAAATCCCAAAAGCTCAAATAAGTCGAAACGCAGTGGTCTAATTCTAAAATGGAAATCATTTTCAAAAATTGTGGTTCCGAAAACATATAACTCGATCCTTATATCGAAGAAATACAAAAAAGTCAAATAAGCCTAAATGCAGTGGCGTAATCTTAAAATGGATACCATTTTCAAAAATTATGGCTCCGAATATATATATATATATATATATATATATATATATATATATATATATATATAGGCCATACATATTATATTACAATACATTATATTGAAGAAAAGTCTCATAGACTTTCCTGCAGCACAGGGTCTAGTCATTGGCAGCACATTGTTTCCGGGCAAGAACATCCACAAAGCCACTTGGAGATCACCAATTGGGACAGTCACGAACCCAATAGACCACATTATGATTAGCTCACGCCACAGATCTAACTTTATTAGAGTTAGAGTCTATAGTGGCGCAAACGTTGACTCGGATCATTTCTTGAGCATCCCCTTGAGATCCGCCCACAAATATCAATGAAAAAACATGTAGCAGCTGGTCCGACCTAACACGGAACGGTGCACAACATACCGGCAGCACTTGGAAGTTAAACTCGCGAAGGAGCTGAGAGAGAGAGCCGAAACATTAGATGACCAGTGGGCAGGAATAGCCGAAGCTCTTAAAGATACAGCGAAGGAGACACTCGAACCTCAAACAAGAGATGGCAGGACACAGTGGTTCGACGATGAATGCCTAGAACTCACAACCCGGAAGAACGAGGCATATAAGAAGATAATCCAGCATTATACCCCACAATCACAAGCGGAGTATAGAAACAGGAGGAGGGAAGAAAAGAAGAACCACCGCATAAAGAAAAGAACATGGGAGAACAAAATAATGGAGGACGTTGAGACCCACAGAATTCTTCCTGAAAGTAGGATATTCTTCCAGAAGGTGAATGAAGGGAGGTCGTTTTTTAAACCGAGGGTTACCTCTTGCAAGGATACAGATGGAAACCTGACGGAAAAGGGAGAAAAGTCCTTCATCAAGACAACGCAGAAAAAGAAGCCAACATCATCTCAATAACGGAAGACCTCCCAAACGATGCAGAATCACCAGACGAGGATGAACTCAATGCGGCAGTTACGAAGCTGAAGAATAACAAAGCCCCGTGACTAGATGGCATACAGGCGGTGATGATTCACTACGGTGGCGAGGGACTAATGAAGGAACTCCACAAACTCATCCTAACAATATGGGAAGAAGAAAGGATGCCACAAGTTTTGAGACCAGGAGTTATTTGTCCGCTTCACAAGAATGGTAACCAAACGGAGTGTGACAACTACATACCCGGTGGGCCAGACCCCCTTACCGTGCACCCCTCCCCCCCCTCTCCCCACATCCCTATAAATTGTCCAGACCAGCTGACTTGCCAATTGCCTAGAACAAATCTTTCTTGCTGATGAAATGTTCTTCACCATAATAAACCTGCTTAATATTATCCAAACTGATCAAGCATTTTGACCCCCTTTTAGCAGCATCTTGAAATATTCTGTTTATTTGTCTACTATATATTTGTTTAGGCATATAATAGATACTGATCCTTGTTTTCTTTTCCGAAATTTTGCCACTGTCGTTCGCTTAATGTATTTTTCCAATGTTTGGGTTCAATTTCGCGTTTTCCCTCATTTTGAGACCAAATACTAACAATCAGTTCCAGTTACCTAGAAGAACTTATAACTTCGCCCTTTCCATATTTCTTTTGTGCAGAGGGAATAATGCACTTTAATATTAAAAATTCCTATTTTTTATGATATGGTCCAACTTCCGAATAAAATAAAGGAAATAAAAATGTTTTTTTTAATAGCGATATATGAATTTTACTAAACAATCCATCACCTATTCATTAAAAGTAGTTCAGATTAGGTATATATTATTTTAGTTTATAAAACAGATATTAATATGACTCATTTCCGGGGAAGTATATACAATTTAAATTACCTCTAAGAATCAATAAATATATAAAACAAAATGTTAAATTGCAAATATTAAATAGAAAATTCAAGATATTCTGCAAAGTATTTTTCAATTAAGTTTTATTATTATTATTATATAATTTTTATAATATAGGCCTTCTTAAGCGACCTCCGCATAGAATAAATGAAGTTAAATTAAAAAAAAAATAATAATGATAAATAAAAACAAAAATAATAAACTTTAAAAAAAAAAAATTTACAATTAAATTATTGTATTAATATTTGTTCGTTAATACAATCAAAACAATATAACAAAAACGTTATTATAGCACTATAACTAAGCCATTTATGAGTACTGATTAGTGTGGTAGAGGCCTGAAGGCACCTACGCCAGTAGCGCTTTTCTGCCGCTTAAGTACATTTTATACGGAACTACTTCAAATATTTTAAAAAGTAATCAGTGTTTTAGAAATAGAAATGTATTCTCCAGATGTTTTATTTCAGCACGTTTTGCATTATTGTTGACCGTTTAATTACAAACGACGCTTGATTTTCAACTTTAAAATTTTTTTGTAAAAAAAATTGACTACCGATTTTTTTTAATGCCTAAGCCTATTAGTTTTTAATATTTTTTCATGTTTTACTATTCTATGACTATCCAGCTTTAATAAAAGACCAACTATAATGAAATTAAACCAAATGCTGATTCTCAGTAACAAAAAAACTAACTAAAGTCAAAGTCGTCAATCCGCCATGTTTGGACGCCATTTTGGGGCAGTTCGTTCACTTTTTTTTGTGGGAACATTGGCTTTTTTTAAATAAATTGTCACAAGGAACACAACGATATGCAATTTATAGGGATGTGGGGGGGGGGGTGCACGGTAAGGGGGTCTGGCCCACTGACTAACAGGAGTATAGTCCACCTTGCGAGTGCCTACAAGGTGTTGTCAAACATCCTTTTCGAGATACTCACTCCCCATGCTGAAAAGTGATGAGATAGGCAATTACCAGGCGGGATTCAGAAGGGACAAATCAACCACACACCAGATCTTCTCACTGAGAATAATTCTGGATTTCAAGTTCGCATACGATAGAAATGTTGGAAAGTTTGCCTGGTTTTAGGAAAAGGGCGATGTTGAAATGTTTCCATGAGAAAAAGAAGTGGGTAGTTCTTAAGATGGAATTATAAATATATGTAAGGAATATGATTTGCTTTGGGTAGAAGTTGTCGAAGGATCTGTGGGCTTATGAGGTTGTATCAGGAGATTTACGAGTAGTGATTTTATGTAAAAGGTATTTGACCTCAGATGGATTAACTGCTTAAGGTAGCAAGGAGAGTGGGATTGGTGAAGAGAGGAATTCTTCTACTTCTGCAGTGTGGGTGGGATGGGATTTCGGATGAGGAGTGATAGTACTGGAGAGGTGTCTGGCAAATTCCTCAGCTTTGTCTTTATCAGACGCTATCCAGGAGCCACCGCATCGACGGAGGGAGACGGAAATATGATGGAATTTTAGGATTTTCTTGATGGTATTTCAGAGGGAATTGTCATGAAAAGAGAGGAAAGATAGGCATTAATTAAAGGAATGGGACCTGAAGGATTATAATTCCTGTTTTAATGGTTTACAGTAATAATTGTAGCAGCGAAGATTGATGTGTAGTTTGGTACTTTGTTATAATAATCAGGCGCGGCGTTTGGCGTGGATTAAGTCTGTAAGGTGTTAATTAAATACAATTAAAGTAGTGATTAAATAATGAACAGCCACAAAAAAGTTTCTTCAAGATGTATGTGTTTATAAGAAAATTTATCAGAGGAAAAATAATGAGCTACACATTTTAGTTCAGTACAATAAAAATAATATGACAGTTCTCAGTAGGAGGACTATATAGAACAATATTATAAGAAAACAAAATCAGTATTAATTAAAAAACTTACGTTGCGTTGGCTGTTATATTCAGGCAGCACACGAGCATGTTTTGCAGTATTTGTGTAAGTCCATACATACTCCAGGAATCGTTCTAGTTGATCCTATAAAATAATTTTTTTAATATAATCTTTATATAAGCAATAAATCAATATAGGAATAAAAGTAAACAAATCTGGGGCACTACGCACATTTCTAGATTTGTCTAACTTTGTTTCCAGCTTCTTTTCAGGGAAGAATGGTATATACATAAATTTAAATGGCTTCAAGGAGATTTTAGGCAAATTTCATTATAATCATTACAGCCGTTTTGTACCTAAAATCTATTGAAACATAAATTTCTCAGCAACCATTTTGAAATGAAGTGAATGGTCTCTAGTATATGGTGAACGGGAGGGTCGATGCCTCTCACCTTTTAAAGAAACAAAACATGCCACGTAGGACATTGGACTGATCAACGACGATTTCTGCAAGGAAAAGAACTAAATTGTTTGGCCAAATGAAATACGAGTTTACTGAAACGTGGAGCTGCAAAGGAATTAGAAAAATAACTACTTCGATACAGGGTATATGTACTGGCTCTTTAGGAAATAAAATAGAAATTTACAGAACTAACAAGCTGAAGGCGCACACTATTATAAACAGTGCTAATAAAATAGAGAACCATACAAAGAGACCGTAGAAGCCGTTCTTTGCACTTGATTGTTAGAACTTCCTCGCCGTTTTTCATCATAGGACCTGTAAACTGAATCTCTTTTGTCAAAGCTTTTCTGAGAAGATTTATACTTTGAGATCCCTTTAAAGGCTAGTAGACCATGAAAATAGATGTCTGGGGTATTTTCTACTTGAGTTACCCCCTAAGAATTTCTAAGAAAATCATTTGATGCAACACCTCATAGACCAATGTCTAATGACCATAGTCAGGCGGAGTAATGTAAGGAATGTAGGGCAAAATGCTAACATTCTCCACCTTCCTGACTCGTGAACTGGTCCGAAGATCCGTCTAGGAACTTTTCTTTCAAATCTGTCAATCTTTTCGGCAGTAGTGTAGATATACGTCCATGTCTCATATCCATATGTTAATACAGGTCTAACAATCTAATCTTAGTAGTCCTGCTCAGCAATCTACTTCTGAATAGTTTAGTTAGAGCAAAGTATGCTTCATTTCATGCCACTAATCTCCTCATCTTCATTAATAAGGGACCCGAGTAACTGAAATTGTTGACCAGTTCTATGGTGTAGTCGCTGACAACACATGTTATTTGAGAGTGCACGGGTTCTTTCTTCTTAATGCTATTACTTTGGTCTTTCCCTCATTTACTCTGAGAACCACACCACGCCCGCTTCTGCATCAAGCTTAATAAATTCACCTCTTAAGCTAGCCAGAGATCTTCTAATGATCACTACATCATCTGCATATGCCAGTATCTGTATCATGTTGGTGTAGATGGTTCCTCCTCAATCTACTTCAGCTCGCTTAACAATAACTTGGAGGACAATATTAAATAAAAAAAGGAGCTAATGGGTGTCCCTGCCTCAATCCATTCTTTATTTCAAATGAATCTGAGGGCTCATTCGTGGTTTTAATCCAGCATTTGTTCCAAACCATGGTGCATCTGGTAAGCCTGATGAGCTTATCAGATATTCTCAATTATTTCATAACCATAAACAAGACATTTCTATTTATAGTGTCATATGCTGCTACAATATTCGCAAACATCACCCATACAGATCTTCCAAATTCTCTCATATTCTCAAAGGTCCGCATAATAGAGAAAATGAAATCTATCGTGGATCTGCTGTGCCGGAATCCTCCTTGGTAGTCTTCAAGTAATGTTTCTGCATATTTCTTATATAACACAACAGAAAATACCTTGTAGATAATGGAGAGTAATGTGATCCACCTGTGGTTCTTACATAGCATGACATTCCTTTTTCTTTTGCATACTGGCACTGTTTGGCCCTTTGACCAATCATTAGGAATCAATTCTTCCCAAATTCTCATTATCAATTCTTGGAGTACTGCAGCAATCTCCCAGTTTACTTACTCCTTTGAAAAGTTCCACCGGAAGACCATCTTTTCCAGGTACCTTATGATTTCTCATTCCCGCTATTATCTCCATAATATTCATTTTATAGGCAGTACATCTTCGCCATTTTCATTGTTTCTCCTAAATGCATTAACCAGTCCTACCTCCTCGGCCTGTTCATGATTTAATAGCTTCTGAGAATGTTTTTCTAATGATCTCCCATTTCTTATCCCGTCACCAATACCTCTCCCTCATCATCCTTGACCACCTTTCTTTGGTTTCTGTATCCGTCGATAAAGGTATTAATCTTCCAATACAGTTTCCTTGTTTTGATATTTTTATCTGGAAGATTCAATTTCCTCTAACTCTTTTAGATAAGCTATTTTCTTTTTCATTTTTACAACTTTCTTGGAGTAGGGTCTTGCATTTCTATATTCCTTGTGGCTTTGTCGGGTATTCCTTTTTAGAAATTACAACCTTTTTATGTTTCCTTCTTTGATAGCTACCTCACATTCTGCGTCAAACCAGACATTGCGTCTTTTGTCAGTGCTTTTTAGGCAGATTAATTTTTCTACATTAGAAACAGCTGCTTATATACCATGCCAACTTGTTTTAATTGAGTTTGCCTCATCTATCACACTGGGGATACCTTGTAAGAGTTCATTTACCTTTTGCTGATATTGCGTGCGTGTCTTCTCACCACTTAGTAGATCATGATTCCATCCCTGCACTTTTTCTATTCCACCTCTTAGTTTTAAATTAGTTCTCACTGTCAATTTCAAAACAGCGATGTAGTGACCAAAGCTTATATCTAATCCTCTATATGACTGAACATCATTGACACTGTTAAAATGCCGATTAGATATCATAATATGATTGCTAATATTTCTATTCAGAGAATACCAGGTTTATTTGAGAATGGTTTTATGTAGCCTTCTTCCATTATGATTTGATCGGCTGTGCAAACTGTGATCAAAAATAGTGGGTTTAAACTCCGTTATCCTTCCAATTTGTGCATTGAAGTCTCCAAGCATTATCTTCATGTCATGTGATGGTAGGTCCGCTCCAGATATTGATAGTAGGTATCCTTTAATTCTGGTCCCTTTTTCTCTGTTGATACATTTCATATTCAAAATGGAGATATTGACTCTAAGGAGACTTGCCCAGGAGCTGATTGCCTGGAAACTGAGCACTGCTTGTTAAAGCTGACTAGAAATTAGGAATGCTGTTTCAAACTTGTACCTTCCCAAAAAAGCAATCATATTCCTTACCTATCTATACAACTGCATCCTTCGCACAACCAACTTTCCTTTGGTGTGGAAACATTTCATAATCGTGCTGTTTCCAAAACCAGACAAATCCGTTAATAACACATCATCCTACAGACCGATAAGCTTACTCCCTATCCTCTCAAAAATCTTTGAGAAAATCTTTCTCAAACGTATCCTACCCATAATCGAATCCCACAACATCCCTTCTCATCAGTTTGGATTCCGCTCAAGACATTCCACTGTCCAACAAGGCCTTCGTGTTGTGAACCATATATCCTCTGCACTTGAAAACAAGCATTATTGCACTGGTACCTTTCTGGACGTAGCGCAAGCTTTCGAACGGGTGTGGCACGATGGCTTGCTTTTCAAGCTCAAAACCCATTTACCCCAATCCTTATACCTAGTCCTCAAATCCTACCTCTCAAATCGTTCCTTTCAAGTCCGTTGTGACACCGAATTCTCCACTTACTATCCAGTTGAGGCTGGTGTTCTACAAGGCAGTGTCTTGGGCCCAGTTCTCTACATCCTCTTCACTTCCGATATATTTCTAGCTACATTTGCTGATGATACTGCCATTCTATCCTCCCACTCAGATCCTCAAATAGCATCTCTAAACCTTCAATCTCACCTCTCCTTGATTGAGCAGTGGTGCAACAACTGGCGCATCAAAATCAATGAATCGAAATGCAAACATACCACTTTCACCCTGCGACGCAGATCCTGTCCGCCAATCCTTTTTAATTCGATTCCACTTTCCTACTCAGACACAGTCCGTTACCTTGGCTTCCTTCTATACAAAAGACTAACTTGGAACCCACATACCAGACTTAAAAGACAAGAATTTGACCGACGATATGGCCAGCTGTATAGATTACTAAGTAGGACATCTCATCTTTCGATTGAAAATAAACATTTAATCGACAAGACAATACTGAAACCTATCTGGACCTACAGACTTGAACTGTGAGGAACTGCTAAACATTCGAATATCAAACGCATCCAATCCTTCCAGTCCAAAGTACTTAGAACATTAGTCAATGCCCCATATTATGTCACAAATAAGACCCTACACCATGACCTTAACATCCCATTTGTCCTCGACATCATCCCATCCAGATTCTTAAACTTTCACCAGAACCTTATCCATCAACCAAATCCTCTAGCTCAATCCCTATCCAGCTCCCTTCATCCCTATAATCCTCCACGAAGGTTAAAACGGCAGTGGCCCAGAGATCTCTTGTAAATATGCTTCTGGAGTCCTGGCAATGGCCAGCTTCTCCGCTCATGTCCCGAGTGTCTGTGGCTATAGTGCCCTCTTTCAGTCTCCACTGGCTTCTAATACTAGTGATGCGGCGTGATATATAGTGATGTATATATTGTATATAGGTATGATTGTGTTTAGAAGTTTCTATTTTATGTTATTGTTTACTTTTTTTTCCTTTTATTTACTTTCTTCATCAGTATTATTTATTTACTTTTTATATTTATATTTATTTCTCTATTATTTATATATATTGTTTGAATGAGAACTCTTAGCCCTAATACTTATAGCCCTCCAGCAGTGGCTGATTGTATTATTATTCAATAAATAGATTAAAAAAAAAAAATTTTGGCTGAGGTAAAAAAAAAACTGCTCAAAGATGTTAAGATTTCGCTCGGAAAGCAAAGCGACCTTGCATTTGAAAATAGTGAGAAACTAAAAAAATTGAAGAGTTGGCTCTCAAACAAGAAAAATAATAAAAAATCTATTAAGTGAAAATAGATCATTAAAATTGCAAATAAATACTCTAAAGGCGAGGCTTA